AATCCGTCCCCAGCCAAGGGCAGCCAGGACTGGGCATTGCTGCTCCTGCCCAGCACAGGAGATTGGGTGCTGGAAGCAGCCAAAGCCGTGCCTCCTGCTGTCACTGAGCCCTGGGAACACAGCGGCAGGTTCACACAAGGACCCCCTGACTTGCTGCCCCCTGCCAACCAGCAGTGGCCCCTCTCCATGCCCAGAGGACACTGGAAAGCATCGCCGAGGCTGGCGCATCCCCACCGGCGGGTGCCTACCGTGCACTGAGGCGGACGGGGCCGAACGCTGCTCCCAGGACACACATGGGCAGCCCCGTCTGGACGGCTTCGAACCACTTCACCACCACCTCGCCTGGGGGGAGCAGAGAGGCTATGAGCGGGCAGTGCACCGCGGGCAAGGGCCAGCCAGGGCCATGCGGCTTCATCCTGTGCCAGGATGAGCCTTGCTGTGCATCACCCAATCAAGAGGGATGGCCCAGGGCCCCCGGGGGAGCAGCACCCCTCAGCCGTAGAATCATAGAACCAACCAGGATGGAAAAGACCTTTAAGATCATCAAATCCAATCTTTACCCCAGCACTGCCAAGTCCACCACTAAACCACGTCACTATGAGCCTCATCGATGCCCCATGAGCTTAGGAAACATCTCTGGGCTCCCTGCAGATCTTTAGCAATGCAGTAGCTGCATCCCGATCCCACACACAACTCTCCTTGTCTCCTGGGACAGGACAGACCTTTCCAAATGCTGCCAGGGCTCAGCCACAGCCTGCGTAGGAGACCCGACGTGCCAGTTCCCACAGGCACCAGCAAGGCTCGACTTGCAACTTGCTATTGAGTCAGACACAAAACGAGGGCAAAGGACACGGAGATGTGCAGATCAGGAACAACCAGGAACCCCCAACTTCTGCCTTCGCCCAGAGCTTGTGAAACATCATCCCCCCACCCTGTGTCACCCGCCCTGCCAGGCAGCAAACACCCACCAACTGCACCCCGGGCTCGGGCAGAGCATCTCCCAGCAGGGTAAAGGTGACCTCCCATGGCTCTTGGTCACACAGACCCAGTGGGGAATGACACTGCAGATCCAAACCTTCCCCCACACCAAATGGGGCTGAGGATCGAGGAGTCCGACCAGCCCAGCCCGCTCCACTCCAAGCACCACCGTGGGGTTTGGCAGCTCAGCCCTCCGAGCCCACTGCTGCTCACCCAGCATGTTGGTTGGCATGCCCAGGAGGGTGTGCATCACGTCGTGGACCTCCCGGTACCTCTGGATCACATACGCCAGTTCTTCATCGTCAACAAACTTGGGTGGCATCCGGGTGTCCGGAGAAACCTTCTGCAAAGCCAAAGAGGTCCAATTCAGCCCCTTCCAAATCTCAAGTTTATCTTGGTTTGGCTAAGGTAGGGTTAATTTTCTTCCTAGTAGCTGGTACAGTGCTGTGGTTCGGATTTAGGATGAGAATAACACTGATAGCACACTGATGTTTCAGTTGTTGCTAGGTAGCATTTATACTAAGTCAAGGACTTTTCAGCTTCTCATGCTGCCCTGACAGTGAGGAGGCTGAGGAGGCACAAAGGACACAGCTGGGACAGCTGATCCCAACTGATCCAAGGGATATTCCACACCATATGTTCTCATGCTTGGAATATAAACTGGGTACTGAGCAGACTGGGCATCAGTTGGTTGGTGGTGAGCAATTGTTTTTCGTTTGCGTCACTTGTTTCTGTTGGGGTTTCTCTCTCTCATCATCACCGTCATCACCATCATCATCATTATCACCATCACCATCACCACCATCATATGTGGTCCCCTCCATCAATGCAACTCCCAGACCCCAGTGATGGGGGGAAGGATCATTTACATGGACAAAACCCAAGGGCTGCTCTGCACTGGTGACAAATCCAGCATCATCCAGCACTCAGCATTCATCCTGTCTCCCTGACTCCCTCATTCCTGGAGGGTTCTCCACAGGCTCCTCCATGGCTCCAACCTCTCTCTAAAGTAAATCTGTGCTCCCAGGGATCAATTACAGCCATTTGCACCCTCCAAACCCCCACACTCACGTTGTCCTCCAAGAAGCGAACATACTCTCGGCCCAGTGATCCCTCCGGCAGCTCCCGCAGCCGGGATATGTCCAGGGTGGAGAGACAGATGCGGGGACGTTCCCTGGAAGCAAAACACAGGTCAGTGAAACCCACGTCTGGAGAAAAGGAGGGAGTCCCTGGAAACCCCACTGCCTGCCTCTGCCCTTCCTCACACAGATCCTGACTGCTCGCTGCAGGGACAGCACCATCCTTATCTCTGCTGCTGAGGCTGGGACACAAACTGCTTATAAAGGCTCTGCCTGAAGCTTCGGCAATAAAAGAGCTTTCATCTTGCACCCCTGCAGCAACTCTGGTTGGAAAAACACCAGTGTCCTCTGCACTGAAATCCTGCTGCCGGCCACGCACAGCCCCCAGAGCAGCCAGCCAGGGGAGCAGAGCTCTCTAGTGTCCCTGCAAAGCAGCCAGAGCTTCAAAGGATCAACTCTAAGAAGGGGAAAGAATTTGTTTTAGAAAGGTTTAATTCCTCTCCTGTTCAGGCTTTCACCACCAGGTTGTTGGCAAATAGGTGACCACAGCCCTGGAACTAAGCAAAACCCCTTTTCTTTCCATGCACAGGATAAATTCTCCCCATGATATAAGCCCTGCAGTGGATCTCAGCTCCTGGAGCAGAGGTGCCAGGGAGATAAGCAGGGCCAGCACCAGCCTCCCCCTGGCTGACACCTCCTTGTGTATTTGGCGTCAAAGGCACCTCAGCAGCTTGGGGGATTAAAAAAGACTTGTGTGCACCAACCGGGCCACTGCAAACCCCAGCAAGAAGCACATGGGGATTTCCCTCCCAGCCCTTGGTGCCTTTGCTGTCCCCTCTCCCTGGGCAATTCCTCTGGGTCCCAGCCCCATCCTGGTGCTCCATGTGCTTTGCTGGGTCAGTGTCCGGAGCCAGGACCAGGCTGCTCTGCACAAACACATGGCAAAAGGCAGCTTTTCCCCAGCCCCTATATCCCAAAGGTACACCCCAAAAGCTACACAAGCAGCAGGCTTGACATGTAATGAGGAACAGAGAGAAGCAAGCAAACAAGCAGTAAGATTTTGGTTAATAAGAGACTCGTGAAGTCCCTCCTGGCCCTCAGCCTTGCTGCGCTCAACAAGTCCCTATAGACATGGAAGCAAAAGTGATCAAATCTTAACAAGGAAGACAAGAGAAGTGGCCTCATTTCACAGCCTGGGGAGATGCTGCAGGCGCCAGGAAAGAAAACAGGGAGGTGTCTGAGGAGGCAGACCAGTGGAGATGAAGTCTCCGATGCAAAGAGATGTAGCAGCAGGCACAGGGGAGAAACCCATGGACGTGGTGGGTTTTCATCGCTGCTCAGCATCCACGGAACCCTCCCCTGTGCATGCTGCTGCATCTCCTTGTGCTGGCACCTGCCAGTTCCAGCAGCGAAGCAGAACTGACAGGCAGCAGAGCCTGAAACAGGCTGGGCCCAGCGGCTGCTGCTGCTGCTCTCACCCTCAGATTGCACTTAGGGCTCTTGTGATGGCTAAAAAGAAAGCAAAAACAAATGACTTGAGGGTTAGAGCTGACAAACTCTTGTGCTCTCCCTTCACGGGGCCCAAGGAACATGTTCTTGGCCTCGTGTCTCCTCCCCACCACAACCCACAGGGAGGAAGGGGTGCGGAGGGACGCACTGGAGGATGCGGTAACCTTCAGGGTGGTGTTTCATCTTGTCCCGCAGGCTGGGCAGGGCCAGGCAGCCCGTGGTCTCCCCGAGCACTGCCACCATGTCTGAAAGAGAGACCAGAGAGTGACCCAAGAGCTGCTTTCGCAACACCCAGTTCTCCTGGGCTGGCAGGTGAGGACATGGGGCAATGACCCCCTTGGCCAGGAGCAGCCTGCGGCAAAGCAGGGACCCACAAACCACGGATCTTCAGCCTCAGGGCGGCTCCACCCGCATGGGGGGATGCAGGAGCAGGCGTGAGGCCTGCGGGGACGGGGGAGGAATGACACGGTGCTGGGTGGCATCGTAAGGGGTCATGAGGAGATCACTGGGGTGTGTTTGGGGCTCTTCAGCCCTTCTCTTCCGCAGCCTCCTGCCCTGAGCCAGGTCTCAGCTCTGTGCTTGCCGCATTCCTGAATGTGTCACCCAACAGAAGCAGGAATA